CAGAGCGGAGCCTGTTTTTTTCCACCCATAATAAAACACAAATGAATACGCATACGCATCTAAGTAAATACACACATTTCCACTCACACAACTGGTACAGTGTCTGCCATCTGAAGGGCAGATGGGTCTAGTTTCTTATTTTCTTTCAAAAGGCTCTGCCTTTTGCCAGGCCACAGTTGCAAATAAGAAACCCGTTCTTAATCTGTCTTGCCTGGTTAAATAAAGGTAAATAAATAAATAATAAATCATGCCGCCACTAATTTCAATAACCGATTATGTTCAATCGCTACTACCTCGCCACTACAGTAAGCCGCCCAGCGATTCCCCCCAAAGATGCTGCCGTGCGATCATTCAACAGTTATATGCAAAATGAAACAGACTGTAACCTGCATACAAACAGGATAAGAGCCCCCTTGTGTCCCCCTGCCCCCAGTGATCTCAGGAAAATACATCATGCTAAGAAACGTTTACTTGGTTGATTAGGAAGGGTTCTTGAAAGGGATCTAAACGTAAGAGCAGACAGCCAGACAAAACTGGGCAGGGGAAGGCCCACATCTCTCTTACTGTCCCATCTATCATTCCATATGGCCCAACAAATGAGTTTTCCCTGCAGTTAGATGTAATAACAAAATGTACAGGGTTAGGCGATCAGACATTCCACAGGCAGTGTGCACCTTGCCGTCTAACTCACCAATTTCTTCTTAGTTTGAAATGATATTTTCCACAGACAAATAATATTACTTGAAAAGCTTGGCAAGGTCTTTGGGCACTTGTGCCACCCATCAGAAGAACATATCAACCAGGAGGACAATTTCATGCAGTTTAAGATCTCTTCTGTTCGTTCACTGGTAATTCTTTCCAGTCTTGTACTATTGTCATTTTTAAATATGGTCACATGGTTTTCTATTATTGTCACAAGGTCCAAAGCTTCATAGGTTTGGATATAGTTTATTATTTTGCCACAGAGATCAACAGATTCCTTCACCAATTACAATTAATCACAGATTTTTTTTTGTTACTTTTATACCATTATTTTACTCCAGCAAGTCAAGCACTGCGCTGGGAAGTAAAGCAGCAGTGACCGTGTGTAAATCCTTTGTTTTTACAAGAGTGGAGCTCCTTATACGCTGCACTACCAGCCAGCCTGTAAGAGGGTCAAAGGTCAGAGGTTATCATGCCGAGGCAGGCTGCTGACAGGGTGCTCATGGGGGCGTTCTGACAGGGCACCCAGGGAGAAATGTGGAAGGAGATGCATGTCTAACAAGCTCGGCATCACCGGACAAGGGCATCAACACGCGGTCAGCCCTCTCAGGGAACAATCAGCACAAATCAGAGCCGAGTGACATAGACAGTAATGGCCACCCAGTGGGAGGCCTGATTGCAACACAAGCTGGAATCCAGTGGATCAGAATGATAAAGATAGAAACCTTTAAACATAATGGAAAATTAAATAAGTAACTGACTTTTGTTTTGTTATTTAAATCTGTTGCACTTGCTCTTGATTGGTATAGTGAATATGTCAGATAAAGTTGGATGTACAGCAACTCATATTCAGTTAATTATTTGTACCTTTTTCCAATCACAGAGCATGTTTAAGTGAGGGACGATCCTGTAAGTTAGTGCAGTTTGGGAGAAATTATAAAGTTTAACATTTTCTTTTATTATGAAAATAATTTTGCACTGAAGAAATCTTAGAAAGAAAATCGGAATCAGCAGGTCACACTTGCAAAAAAATCGGAAATCAGAATCAGCCAAGAAAATTGCAATTGGTGTATCTCAAATATCAATTTGTTAATTTAAAAGTTAAGGTTAGAGGGAAAAACATAATCGCAGCCTCATTTAAACAACTGTGACCTCTCACCCCCAGGTATCTTCAACACATTAAAACTATTCTGTCTTACGATGACTTATCGTCTGGTGAGCATAGAGAAGCTTGTACAGCTATAAAGGTATTCATCTACTTTTTAGCACATTTTAGTGTTCCCACTAGGTTTCTCCTACAGTCCAAAGATGAGTTGTTTAAGTGAGCCGATGTCTATAATTGTCCTCAGTATGTGTGATGAACTAGTGTTCCTTCCTGAACATCCCTGGTTTTGCCCCCAGCACTTCCTGGGATTGGCTACTCATCAGACAAGCACTTAATTAGACAGGTATGGATTATACGATTATGCGGATGTTATGGGTTTTCTGCAGTCGACCTTGAGGAGCTTTCTGCCGCTTCATTTTTTTTTACTCGGTGCCTGACCATGGAAGAAAGCTGACCTACCCATCCACAGGCACCCATGGCCATGGTGCAGATCAACAATGGGCACAGAGAATCTCTCAGAAAAACGCTGCAGTTTGAAAGAAAAAAATATTCTTAAATTTCTCCACCCCAAGTGGTCAAGAAGTGCAGCTCCAGAGACCCAGTAGGGAGCGTATGAATAAATAAAATAAAACCGCCAGTATGGTTCCAAGATGGAGCAGCAGATCTACACAGAGCTGTTTAGCTATTTATTCATTCTGTGACTTTCTCATTCTGTGGAACAGAGGCTTAACGATGCGTCTGAAAGGCATAAAAATGGCCTTGCCAGGAACACTGAAACCGGCCCACCTGCCATCACTCAGGAAAAACCTGAAACAATCCCCTGACTGTTGAAAGAGCAGTTTTGTAAAACAAACAAACAAATAAATAAATATGATATTGATCTGTCTGTCGCCTTCACTTGTGAGCCATGAATAGTGGGGCCGCTTCTCCTATCGATCCAAACCTACAACCACATTCAGGATCCCAGAGGAAGACACCCAATTATATGAGTGTTTCTGCATTTGTTCTGTATGGTGGTGAGGTTGAGTTTAATTCAAATCTATTTTTCAATTGAATTTTATTTGTATAGTGCATTTTCACAACAATACATTGTTTCAAAGCACTTTATATTATCCCTGCCCAAAGCCCCTAGTGAGCAATCCAGAGGTGACAGTGGCAAGGAAAAACTCCCTAGAAGGAAGAAACCTTGGGAGGAACCAGACTCAAAGGGGAAGCCCATCCTCCAGGGGCCAGCAGAGAAATTCAAATAAACAATTGATATTTATTCCTCTGTGCCTTCCAACAAACAACTTAATTAAGCAGATGGTGTTAGCTGGCCTTTAATGTACAGAAGCAGGGCTCAGCCGGAAAGATAGAGGGCATAGCAGAGCAACCCTGCTCCCTGAGCTTCTGGCGGGCTCTGGTGGTGGTGGAGGGGTGCTATCTATGGGCAGCACAGTGCAAAGGAGGATTGGAAAATGGCACAATGAGAAAGAAATACCAGGGGGGGGAAAGGAGAAGTGAAACCCAACCACAATACATCATCACCTGAGCCATCCCTACCTCCGCTGAAATCGGATTTTGATATTCCCCACGTTTTTGCAGACTGACATCCTAATCCTTTTCACAGGATGGAGCACTACATCAGGCAGCACAGGAGCCACTGAATGGCTGAAATTATTCTGAGAATGGCAACTAATCAACTGACGACATCCCTGCCACGCTCCCCCGCTCCAAAGACATTAGCACGGTGTAATTCAGAGCAGAAGGTCTCGCCAAGCACTGGCCGTGGGGCCTCCCTTCATTCCCCCGCAAGCTCATCCGCATCACGCTCTCTTCGCGGCCCATGAATGAAGATTCGAAATCTATTCACATCATTACCACCAATTCCCTGAGCTGTGAATCACCATCTGAAGCGTTTTTACAGAGTGTCAGGAAGGGACTTGGCAGAGTAGGGGAATACATTTCTGCTTAATTAATCCCGTTCCTTACTTTAGGTATTAAAAGGTAATGGTCTGTTTAGCCATCAAACGGGCAATTAGTCACTGTCTAATCATTTTTCATATATTTTATAGATATGTCACAGCCAGGTGTGTCTTTCAGACGGGGACCTTTCCCTGAATGCTTTGGTTTATCTCCCATATCCGAGGTCTTATAGCTGTCAGGGGTATTCAAAGTATAAATTGCAAATGTAATGAAAGAAAACCCTTTCCATTGCAAACACATTCAGCCAGAAGTTTACCTAATTCTGCACCATCAGAGGGTATGTCTGAGCATGGCCTCTTTGTGGTGTTCATGCCAAATGGCACAGTGTCACTGTAGCACAGATTTTCATGGGGAGGGAGGATACCATTGGCAACTGGGGGGGGGGGGGGGGAGGGTCGAAAGTGCCTCCCTATTAACTATAACTGTTTCTTCCAATCACACACTCTACCTTCTCGAGCTTTAGAGTTACTATGGAAGAAGGTTCACAGATTAAAATGTACATCCCCCCTCTCCTGACTTTCACACTTCACCTGGACTGCAGCACCTTCAGAACCCCCCCCCCCGCGAGTGACTTTAAGGCATCATTACCACATTCCATTGGCAGCGCTCAATCAGCAACCCCACTGTAACATTCCCTGCTGTCAAATTCTAATCACTTTTAATGTAAATAGTGAGCTGCAGCTCAGGTGCAAATAGGATTTCCCTGTGAACCCACTGTGGGCCTCATCACAGCACATAGTGGGCTTGACTACAGGAACAAGCGCCAAGCTTTTCACAGAAGGACAAAAGGGGAACAAATCTTTATTATCGGTATGAACAAAAAAACACACTCAGAACTCATGTGGTTAACACCCAGGGAATTGAGGCATTGCATACATTTAATTGAGCACTATTCTGTGCCTTGATGGCTAATTCAGAAATCCTCCTGTGAAATTAAAATTTGCTATGCAGCTCATGTTCCAAGCTGTCAAAAAAAGCATTAATAAATACATATCGTTTGCTTCTTCCTCTTAATCTAGCACCTGAAATGGCTGTTGTTTTGCTTTTTCAAGTGTTAGTTCTAGAGGTCGACTGATATGGGTTTTTCAATAGCCGATGCCGATATTTAAGAGTCAGGGTCAGCCGATGGCCGATATATGCTGCCGATATTTTTTGGCTGAAAATTGGACGTTTTCCCCTCTATTTGCATGATAAAATATCACACTAATAATAACAAATGATACACAAATTTCTCAACTTAGCATTTATTGAATACTGACTTGTGTAAATTTAAATATAAACTTAAATAACAAAAACACAATACAACTTGTAAACAACTTAAACTTATAAACAATAAAAATAGCAGCACCAGAATCCCTTTAGCAGCAAACTACTCCTTCAGCTCCCAGGCTCACCAGCCTGCAGCAGATATTGCACCTGGCTTTTCGTGGTGTTGGATTGGTGAAATGCTGCCATACAGGACTAGATTTTTGTTCAGCCATCAGACAGCAATTACTAAAACAGAAGAAAAAATGCAAGGTTAGCATTTTTATTATAGTGCCTTCATCTTCAATTCATTCTACAATTCCAGTATTCCATGCACATTAAAACAATTACACTCTAATACATTTTGAAAGAAAAAAAAAACACTATTAACTAAGTGCATCATGGTATGATGAGTAGTGTACAAGGCCCAAAACCTTTCACTAACATGTTGTTTATGCAGACAGATAGCTTACAAGCCAAATTCACAATCAGAATCTAGCGATCGCGGAAAATAAAATAACTTTGTCGTATTACACAGCCTTGTATGCAAGGACAACATAAGCCCCTAGTGATTGTGACGTTGTCGACATATAAGGCCGTATAAAGGATAGACATGTTGAGGAAACTAACTGCGCAAAGTCGTGCACTTTTTATCTAGAGTTCTGACAAATTGTTCGAATCTCCGTTCTCAAATGCAAAAAAAGTTGCACAGAAGGACCATTGTTAGCATCAGCTCAAGTGAATAGTAACCACGCTTTCGAACAAACAGTTTTCTCCGCCATGCATTGATCTTAGCAGCTCTGTCTCCAAGGGCGGCGCTGTCTGTGATCGGGGCAGAGTAACACACGCTGCGGTGTTTGAGAGCGCTGCCTGCTCCGCCCCACACACACAGAGTGAAATTCTCCAACACGAGAAAAAAAACAGAACTGATAATATCGGGCTGATATGGCAATAATTAAAATGTTAACAATTAAAATGATTTTTAATGATTAAAAAACGTCTGTGAGCCCACCAACAAGCGCACAAAAGCAACTGTCAGAATCGATGATCCTTAACGTTACCTGTAAGCTACAGTTGGTTGAAAGATCGTTATCGTTACCCCATTTCCAAAGAGCGTAATTGCGTTCACTTTCAAAAGCGCCTGTGTTTTCTTTTTAAAGCAACATTTCATAGCAAACCAGTTAAATAAACAGGTCATTGAAAGATCAGAATTTAAGCCTTACCATTTTCTCCCAGGACTTTTCCAAAACTTCTGGCTGTGGTCCTGCACAAGGCAGCATGGGTCACGTGTTCCACAGCAACAATAACACTGGGCTGCCCGCACACGTGCCTGTCTGTAAATCGGCGTAGTGCACTCGGATCGGCCGATGCCGATACATAAAAAAATGCTAAATATCGCGCCGATATATCGGTCGACCTCTAGTTAGTTCCCTACATTCCAAAAGCCCCGGTCTCCAAAATGAGCATCTTAAGAAGTGATCACGCCAGTCAGCTGCTACACATCCAACACTGTACTTATTTACTCAGAAGTCCTTCCCATGTCATATCATATGCATAACATACGCTCTGTGACAAAAAGTATGTGGACAGCAACTTGTCCAACATCTCATTCCAAAACCAAGGGTATTAACTAGGGCTGCCACTAACAACTATTTTTCTGTAGATTAATCTATGGATTATTTTATCAGTAAATTTATTAATCTAAACGATTAATTTTCCTCCAGAAAATAGTCCTTTTTATATGCCATTGTAGGGCTTCAGATAATGTACACCGGTTTTTCGGCAGTATATGAACATTATTTTCGCCCACAATTCGATAGTATGCCTTAGAATACTAATAAGATGCATATTGTGATGCCCATTAGTTAGTAATCCGTATAAATCTGGCGTATGTTTATGCTTAAATTCGGTTACTGGAGCACGCCACATGCGACGCAAGCGATAAGCACTAAAGTCGCAATGAAGGAAGGGACAGATCAGCAGCCACAACATCTTTTAAAAGAGCAGATATTGTATAGTTATAACTTTTTGAAGATTAAAGTCCGACACGTTTTTTCAGTGTTAAAAATTCAAAAATATTGTTTTCATTTTATCTCACAAATTATTTCCTTTTATTTGGTATCCGTTTCGGTTTACGATAATGACACCAATCCAAACAAGTCCAATGCGCACTAGCATCATCAATCAACGTAGAATAAGACCAGATTTTAGCCTAAACATTTTCACAAACATTTATTCAATGGAAATTCTAATATAGCAGGCAGACAACTTTATGGTTTATTAATGAGTGTATTTGACAGCTACAAGGACAAAAGATATTAAAAAGCTCTCCGTACTAATGGTAATTTAATAAACATGAATAGACGACACGGTGGTTTTGCCTATTCTGGCGGCCCAGATTAGCGCCTGCGTCTCTCTCTCCCGGTGCTCACACGTAGCGCTAATTCCGCCATGGTACGCCATCGCACCTCGCAGTGTAAAACCACTTTTTTGTTTTGTGATAATTTGAACTATTCCCACAATTACGTAATACTATTGAAGGAAAACATTTGTTATATTGAATTGAAGCGTTTTAGAATTCATAAAGGTAATTTTATTAAAATGATAAAGTAAAAATAAAACGATGCATCGATTTAAAAATATTGATGTCGATGCATTTTCAGCGTCAACGTCATCGTCTATGTCGACTAATCGCGGCAGCCCTAGTATTAAGATAAATCTGGTCACACTTTGTTGTTATAGCCATTTTACTGGCAGTTGAACAGGGCAGCTCCAGTAGGACAGAAATGTGGTAAGCTGACTTGTAAAGATGGCATCCAATTATGGTGCCAAGTGAAAAGTCACTAACCTCTTCTGTATGCCGCCCATTCTGCTGCCAGTGTTTGTCGCTAAAGGATTGTATGGCCGTGTGCCTAATTATACACCTTTGCCAGCAAAGGGTGCAGCTTAATTAGCCAATTCCTAAAATAAATACAAGCATCTACATACTTTTTCAATCTTTTGGCCATACAATGGTCATATGCCACCCCCACCACCTTCGGACATTCAAGCCAGCTACACAGCATCACTCAACTATATTGATTAGCCACGGCAAAGTACAACTATCAGTCCCTGTCACACTGGCCATCTATGACCTTCCAGTCCAAGTCCACCAGAAAACACAGGCAGGCCCTAGAAGCCTTCAGTCCAAGCTCTGACATACCCCAGGCTTGTGCCTGTGCTGCCTGGGATAGGTTCCAGGCTCCTCCACACGCATGACCAGGATACGCAGTTAGAAATTAGATGAGAGCATAAACTTCCAGCTGACATAAGTCACTGGCACATAAATTTAATGACCTGTCTCATATACACATACGTAAATACCTAAAATTGGATCTATATATCACGGAAGATAAATTACAGTAGAAGATCATGGTGCCCAAATGTAATATGGTTCAATCAAAATTGGGCTTATGATTTTCAGGTCTAACCTGGATCCTGGCTCGAGGGTGTCACAGCCTGGGGTTAACGCAGCCTGTGGTAGACCCCCGGATCGGTGACAAACCTCCCATCACCACAGATTCGCCGCTTGACATTCATCATGCCACAGCGTGACGACTGTGCGGACGAAGGCGGGCAAGTAGGTGAGCACTCCGAGGACGGTCCCCTACCTCCTGCCCCCCGCTGAGGCAGTGGGCCGAAATGAAACAGCAGGGCTTATTAAATTAAACTTGCAGTCGCCACAAACCATAAACAAGGTGCAGCGCCAGTGTCACCACCGTACTTTCCCGCTAATTGCACTATTGAAAGACAGGCTGAAGGGCACATGGAGCCGGATGAGTCACGCTTAAGTGGCAAATCACAATCAGCAAAGTACACCGCCCCCCGCAGGGTGAGATCGGCACCTCAGTCGGGTCTGGCGCCGAAGGACTCGCCCTGTGCCATGACCAGGGGGCGAGGACAGATTGAAAATCGCTACTGAGCACAACGCCAGTGTTTAGCCTAACTTTCACAATCTCCTTTCATGCCGTCCCCAAACATTCTTCCTTCATGGCCACCCATCTGTGCTTTCACACAGATTCAAATGCCAAAGGCACCTGGTCGACAAAGCTGGGCTATTAGGATTAAGGGGCCGTTTCATCCCTTTTCCCGTTTCCCAGCTCGTATGAGTGCACACAAACATGCATAGGACCACTCTAACAGCCTTCTGTCATGGCCCCCCTCGCACCTTCGTGGACACCCCACTCACAGCGACAGTGTGACGAAGCCATCGCATGCAGAAGGGAGTCGGTCAAAGTTCACCTTCGGTTCGACGCTGATGTTATCCGTGAGAGGTGTTTTACAGGGGACGTGCCTCATCACCGTGACGAAAAGCACACTTGCTGTCCGTGAATCATTATGCGCTCAGATGCATGGCTAGCAGCACTTTGAGTTGCACAAGTGCCAGATTACAATTCTGAAGCCGGAAGCAGCAATATTCAAACCATGGCCCCCTTCCCCCTCTTGGGTTCACATGGGTTCAGAGGCTCCAAAGCCAATGCCTCTAAGTCACTGTCCAGTTTCTAGTGGATAATGAAATCAGGCAATAATACTTGATAATAAAGTATTCAACATGGAAAACCACAGAGAAACCAAGTGTAATTCAAGGTGTGGATCTAGAGTAATAACTGAAAATCGCTGCCGGGGGCCACAGAGTGCCCTCCATTCCGACACTGATATCTGATCGGTTAAATCACTGCAATGAGGGATGAATTCTCGTGAATTGTTTTGATCCGCTCTGCCTGTTTATCAAACAACAGTGATTTTTTTGTTGTTGTTGTTAATCCTTCCTCAGTTAATTACCATTACATATACTGAATGCCCCCCTTATCTACTCTATTATATCACTGACTAAATCTCATAAAAGATGAAAAGCATGTAAAACTTAAACAAATTGAGTCATGATTCTACAAGTCATCTGTTTTGATTGTATTGTTGTTTCTGGCTACATCTAACTCATCATTACATAACAGTAAAATTGAGAAAGTACCTCATTTTCCAGGTTCCAAAAGCAAGATTCTGAAGTGGCAACCTTCAGTCTTTGGTCTGTGTATACTACGTATTAAGTTATCTACCGTCATATTCAGTGTTTCTGGTGGTTGTGCTCCTAAATAATTAGTACCTTTATAGTTTTATACTGTGGTTTATTTTACAGTAATTCCATTTCTAGGGATAGACTTAATGGTGTAACGCTATTTCATGTTTCTTATCTTTAGGGAATCAAACATGAATACCCAGTGCCCATTATGTACTTGAAAAGGACAAAATATGTTCTAGGTATTATTAGTCACGTGCCATATTTCTTCAGAGACAAGATCCTTTGACTAAATTAATATAGGCCAGTTACTCTGACCTCAGCAGTTATGAAAACCTTTGAACACCTGATGCTGGTCTATCTCAAGTCCATCACAGACCCCCTCCTTGACCATCTGCAGTTTCCATACAGAGAAAATAACTCAGTGGAGAATGCAGTTACACTGTCCCTCCACTACATTCGCCAACATCTGGACTCATCCAACACATATGTCAGGATCCTGTTTGTGGACTTCACCTTCAGCCTTCAATAATATTGTTCCATCGCTTCTCCACAGCAAGCTCTCTCAGGGATCTGTACCTCCAAGCATCTGTAAGTGGATTACCAGCTTCCTGATGAACAGGAAGCAATATGTAAGGCTGGGATCCCACCTGTTTGACCCTATGGCCACCAGCACAGGATGCCCACAGGGCTCTGTTCTCACACCCCCCTTCTGTTTTCTCTTTATATAAATGACTGTACCTCTGCAGACAAGTCAGTCAAAAAATTTTTGCAGACAAAACCATAGCGTGACTCAGTTCCAATAACAATGAGACCTCCTATTGCAGAGAAGTGGGCCATCTTGCCGCATGGTGTGCCATCAGCAACATGGAGCTCAATGTGGTTGAGACAGTAGAAATAAGAGTTGACTTCCGCTGCTAACCCCCTGCCTGCCTTCCCTGGATATTAATGGCCAGGCTCTTCCTTGGTCATGTTCCTGGGGACCACCATCACCAACACATTGAAGTGTGACATGTAAGTCACCTCCATCACCAAAAAATCCAGAAAAGATTTTTCTTCCTATGCTAACTCAAGAGGCTCAACGTCTTCCAATGAAACTTGCTGAACCTACTAAAACCTGCCATCGTTGAAAGTGTTGCGACATCCTCCATCACCAACTGGTATCCTGCTGCTTCCACCCACTCCAATACCAGGTTACAACGTGTGGTCTGCTCATCAAAAAAAAAAAAAAATCACAGGATGTTGGCTACCAATACTAGAAGACCTGTTTACCACCAGGGCAAAGCAGAGAGATGGGAGAATTGCCACTGATTCCGCCCATACAGGCAGTCACCTCTTCACCAAACTGCCTTCAGTTTCAGGTGCAAGTGCACCCTGACCCGGACCACACACTATCCCCACAGTCGTCCAACTCCTAAATAACTCACCTAGTACCTCAGTAATCCATCACCTAGGTGCGATCCACTCACCCAAGGACAATTACTCTCTTGTCTGACATCTTCCCTTCATAATATAAGTGTAATATTCTTTCAACTGGTACCAAAATAGTTCTTGCACTAGTTCGACTGTTTAATTTATTGTCTTAAGACATCTGGCACTGTCTTTTGTAAATTTGTGCACTCTTATTTGTATTCGTATTTTTGCACATAGTGTTCTATAAAGTGTTCTCTGGCACTGGACCATAAACAATTCTGGTATGTTAGCACATACTAGCAATAAAGTGAGTTCTGATTCTGATTCTCATTCAGATTGAAAGTGGAAACCCTAACTGTTGGTGTTTCTGACTGTAAGTGCTTGCATTTTTTACATTCTACTAGATGGAAATGTTTCAAATGGTGAAAACAGTTCATAATATTTCCACTTTTAGTTGCCACAAGTTCTTGGCAGAGTTTACAGTAACACTGTGCTGCGTGTCAGACTTTAAATAGCCAAAAGTCCCAGCACACCAAGGAAATCATTATAAAAAATAAAATTTCGGTCTGCTGAGCTGTTGCTTTCTTCACCGACACTTCTTCCATGATACTACCAGTAGCACATAGCTCAGCTAAAACAATCAAAATTCTGTGCTTTTGCTATGCATAGCTTATCCATTCTTTTGTTTCTGTGACAGTTTATCAGATTTTCTCATTGTCTTGTCCTTTAATACCCCTGAGCTTGCGCCCCTATTTGAAAATAGCACAAGCTTTCCGACCTTGCCTGAATAAAACGCGTAAAACACCCAAACAAGTTGCACAGACATGCTCTAGTTTAAATCATGACAGTCACAAGATGCTAACCAAACAGTAACCAATTTCCATAAGTTTTACTTACATGGTTAAACAAACCTGAATTGTTAATGAACCCACGCTTACATACAGGCTAATGTGGGGTTCCCTTGGCATTACAGTATAAGCATTTTTGAGACTTCTGCCATTGGTAAGACATATTATCTTGAAGACCCTACCCATTGGCAACAATCCATGTAAATTTTGTCTCGATCGGTTTAGCGATGTCTACATGTCACCTCCAGTTTACCCAGGCTAGAAAACAGCGAATAAAACTATAAAAAAATGTCTTACCTGTATTTGATTGTAGTTTTTTCTCCTTATTTCTCTTCCTCCCAGAAAGCAGTCAATTCCAGGCCGGGTCCGCCCCCAAGTCAGCAGATCCGTATTACGGTCAGATACGGTTTGCGGCTGCGTACAGGGTAAAGCTCATGTACACTAGAATAAGTTGGCGTCTCATTCAACTTCCAGATGCCTCATTTCCACCAACGTGGTGCCGGACTTCTCCCCAATCCGGAACTAGTTCCATGCGTTTCCACCGCAAGAAATGGCCCTGGTCTCAGAATTTGGAAGTGTGACCTCAGCGAAAGTGGGACGTGCTATCGCGTCCAAACCTTCCGGATAACTGGATAATTCAATCCATAGCCGATATAGACTTGTCACCGGTGCCAACAATGAAACTACTTACCAACTTATTAGTGGAATAATGTTACATTTTTTTTTATTCTGAACATGTCGCAGGTTGAATAAATATTGTGGTGCTGGAGTGGCGAAGAGATCATGAGATAGCAAAGTTAAATTTTTAGCAGACTGTTCATATTCAGTGTCAACGTGAGTTCTTTACGGACTGGGTGAGCAAGCGCGCGAGCTGTCATTTTCAAATTTTAACCGCCAAGATAGATAGACTATGCTTTCCATTTATTACTTAAAGAACTGAAAGAAAACTCAAAGCGGTGAACTTTTAACATGCCCGTTCACATGAACACAGACTGCTCTATCTCCGTCTTTTCATTACTGCAATTCTGCATTGGACCAACGTCTATAGATGAATACATCAATGTCTTTTTCTGTCTTATGTAGAGATCACGACTTATTTTCCTTATGATCTCAATATAGCAAAAGTTGTTTCTCAAGATCATAAAATAAATTATCTCTGAAAAATAGAATAGTTGTGATTAGACAGGCGACGCATGTGTCACGAGGAGGGAAGCGGATTTCACTAAAAATGCCATGGCTATCATGTTATTGCATTCGTGCAGTTTTTTGTTATTGCATTCTGACAGAAAAATTAAAATTCTCGTGTTTCACACATAACCGAGGTATTCTCTTTTGTAAGAGATTATTTTAAGTTTAAAAAGTGACAGCGGCAATAAAACCGTTCACACTCACGGTTAACATGTGCAGTTAATCTGCGTTTCACATACGGGGGCCGGGGGGGTCCATACGGATCAACCAGGGTCTGTTATACCGCTAATATGTTTATCAAATTTGTGTTAAAGTTAGATATTTATCGTAGGTGCCTGACAGTCCTTCTGCTACATGAGCTTTTCGAGCTCTGCGTTTCAATATACATTTTCAGACAACTTAACATTATATGTGATCGTAAGGCTAAATTATTCTTTATTATGTATTAAACATTATTACATTTCTTACTTACACGGTGACTATATACGAAAACTGCATTTTCCACCATCGCTGACGAATTTACATGGAACTACGCTTCTAACTATAGATCGCGAGCTGATCGCGAACAACATAACGACAGTGTTTGCGAACGTTCGTTCGAACTATGGTTTCGGGAAACACCTGCGTCGTTTAACGATGCATCGTACTACGTAAGTCCGCAGTATCGTTACCTATGTAGTTTGAACTACGGTTTCGGGAAACATCTGCGTCGTACTTATATCCGGGTAGTTACGTACATATAGCACTTACAGTATGTATGTCGCTCTGGCTAAGGGCGTCTGCCAAATGCTATAAATGTAAATGTAAATATATATAGGTAGCAACGATGGTTTCGAGAAACGCACCCCAGAAGGTTTCCTAGTTTAAACAGGGGTCCTTGGTGAATTCTGATAAACATTTTTATCAAAATGCAATTTTTATCACGGACATGATATCTTAAAAATGTAACCTATATAGGTTTTTTTCTCAAATCAAAACATCTTGCCACAGACACACACAAGTTAACGAGGTTGACAATCGTTGTGTTCCAATCGCACGGTTAACAGAGTGGTTCCACCATTGGGCCCCTTAGCAAGGCCTTTAATCCCGACTGCTCCAGGGACTGGCTGACCCTGACTAACCCTGCTTTCAATTGTAGAGTGACTGCCAAATAAATAAAATACTGTAGAGACAGAGCCATAAACAGCCCTGGTGGTGTAGTGTATCCTATGCAAGGGGGCCAATGGCCAGGCCTGATGTCACACGAAGAGCGGCAGGGCACCCGTAATTAATTAAACTCCTTTTTTGTGTGTTGGCGCGCACTGATGGAGTCCGTTTACAAAGCAGATACTTCACAATGGAGTCAGAAGGTGCTAAAACAAAGACAAAGAAACCAATTACAGATGAGGAAATCACAGTGTGGGTGGCTGCAGGAGGGCTAATTTACACAAGTCATCCTCCCACTAGGACACGTGTGAATTATTGTCGATAAGCTAGCTTGTTTCAGCAGGCCACTGACAGGGAGCCTCCCTCCCGCTCCTGGTATATATAGTTAAATGCCGCTGCTTCCTAATCTCCCTCTGCTTCTGCCTCTGTTCACAGAAGGACTCTGACCAAAAATACGCACAATAAACTAGAAAAGGAAGCTTGCTGCGGACCACCGTGAGGCTCTTCATTTCTGAGTGCAAACTGTCACGAAACTCAGACAGAAAGCAGTGTTTCCCCTAGGTTTACAGCTGGGGGGGGGGGGCAGACGGACACCGACAGGTTTCATAGTGTTCATGTGTTTCTTTTAATGACAGCAGTAAAAAAAAAAAACAGATATTTTTGTCTGCTTTTCAGGTGGTTGATGAGACACATTTTCCGAAGCGTGCTCTCTGTCCACTGGTGGGAGTGTGCTCACCTGTGTGTGTGTGCACGTGTCCGTGCACGCGCATCGGGGCGGAACTCCGCCATGCGCGATACAGAGAGCAGAGGGGAATTGTAAACACGCGACTGTGTAAAGATAAAAATGACAAGCTGTTATATAAATAAGATGAATAACATAAGGTTATTTAGTTTGTTTAATAAAAGGACAATGTATAGACCTTTTCAATAGAAAAGGTAACCTTAAATGACTTCTGTTGTGATCTGGCGCTATATAGAAAATAAAATTATATAAAATTTACTTGATCTTCAAGGGGGGGCAGGAGGGGCCGTTGGGCGGCAGTGTGCCCCCCCTAATGTAATGGTAGGGCAAACACTGGAAAGCGAGATAAAGTTAAACATTCTACTATATTTCAAAACTGAGACTTTATAGTATGTACTGCCAAGAGGTCTGAGGGTAGTGTGTGGTTCAGAGGGCTAAGCCTGTGTGGCTGTAATCAGAAGGTCACTGTTTCAAACCCAACCTCAGCACGTCTGTGGGTCCTTGAGCAAGGCCCTTAACCCTCAGCTTCCTGGGCACCACTACAGGTGGCAGCCCTTCACGGACAGCTTACTCTACAAAAAAGAGCAAGTTGAGGGAGGTATAAAGACAATTTCCCCAAGGGGATCAATAAAGTATCTATTATTATGTGTGTATCTTTAACAAAGGAGGTATAGTGAACTAAAAGTGGCATCTGCACAGAAATTATGTAATGGGAATTACATTATTTTATTTGGCAGATTCTTTAATCCAGAGCAATGTACATGTTTTGTGAAAACAGGGTCAGCTAGTCCTTAGAGCAAATGGGAGCCTTGCTCAAGGACCCAACAGAGAAATCATTCTGCTGATGCTGGGATTTGAACGGGCAAACTTCCAATCATAGGCACAGTGTCATAACCCACTGAGCTACACACTCAAAGAAGTGTTAGAAATGTCAGACCCAAGTGGACAGATGGTCAGTTTGAGTTCTGTTTGACACCCCCAAACTTCTGAAATTCACAGAAGCCTGCCCTACTCCAGCTCCCCCATTGCTCAAACAATGACCATGCATTCATTTCCTAGAGTTGAATTATTCCAGAGCCAGGTGTCCTTCCAATGATTACTTTTTGTCTATCCCAGCATTTGCCTGTCATGGTCACACTCAGGAATGGCCCAATCATACCTCTCTACGCAATTATGAAACACTACTTAACAGAAGATTTGGTATTCAGCAACCAGTAGCTCTTTCACTTAAGATGAATGTCCATTTATGCTGATGGTTACTTTTATTTCTAATTATTCAAAGGGCAAGTTTTATTTTAGTGCTGGTTCAATGCTCTCTAATAATAAAATGTTAAGTGGAATGAGCCCACCCTTGACCAATCTGGTTGGATCAGCCTGATATATAAAATTTGAAATAAATGACCAACTAAACTCAATTTCTGTTGTAGTAATTTGCCTTTAACATGGCGTCCATACCACTTACATCCAGCATCTCTCTATAAAACTGCATATACATATTTGAACATCCAAAACAAAAACTCTAGACTGAGAGGAGGAGGATTGGTAATAATTCAAAGTGGTTGGCAACAACTGATGGTAGCCAAGATTAATGACGGCACGTCCATATACCATATACTCCTCTGAAAGGAGGTCACACTGCAGAAGCCAGCTAGGAGGAATCAGCTTGCACAACACATCTTCCCCAAAATCCTTGTTCTCTCCAGCAGCAAAGCATCAGACTGTGGTATAAATAAGTAATATATAGTGCTCTTACAATGATTTATCCTTCTACTAATACCCTGGTATAAACGACAATCAAGCGGTTTAATAAAAAACTGATTTTGAACAGCTGATTTTATCGCCATTGTTCACCTGGAAATATAAAATACCAGTTTTTGGTGAAGCACTGCTACTATATACTTACAGAGACATTTGTAAACAAGGCACAGTGGAGATTATGGTACTGGAATTACCATTAACACCCACACCCAGTTAGGTAAGGTACTTAACTAGCAACCTGTAAAATGTACCCTGTAGCATTAAGCAAGTAACTAAACTAATGAATACTGTTTTAAAACTCACCTGAATGCCATATTCCTTCTGATAACCCAGATGAATAGCATAGTTGCTGGACTGCACTTGCAGACTTGCTTCAAGTGGACTTCTTTAAAATGCTTCAACAGTTTGTTTTTTAAACTACCCAGCTCCATGCAGGTTATACATTTAAACAGCCAACTTCCGATTAATAATTACCCAAGAGTGCCACACCCATGCAAAGTAGACCTTTAGCACACTAAAATAAGGTGAAATAAAAGTTCACATTCTGTCTTGATGTATTCATACCTTTCATAATTCAAGACATTCAGTTATACATATGAAAATAGCCATTATCAGTAAACTAGAACATTATCTAATTTAGATGGCATCAGAATGATGTCTGTGGGAATTTTTGCCCATTCATTCAGAAGAGCAATTGTGAGGTCAGGCACTGATGTTGGAAATGAAGGCCTGGCTCGCAATTCCCATTCTAATTCATTCCAAAGGTGTTAGGTCAGGACTCTTGGTGAGCCACTCAAGTTCTTCCACACAAAACTTACCCAACCATGTCTTTATGGACCTTGCTTTGCACACTGAGGCACAGTCATGCTGGAACAGAAAAGGGCCTTCCCCAAACTGTTCCCACAAAGTTGGGAGCATAGAATTGGTAACCTTCACCTGGCGTCCATCAAACCCAGACTCATCCATCACACTGCTAGACAGAGAAGTGTGATCCATCACTGCACAGAACATGTTTCCACTGCTCCAGAGTACAGTGGTGGCATATTTTACATCATTTCTTCTGATGCTTGGCTTTGATCTTGATGATGTGAGGCTTGCATGCAGTTCCTCGGCTATGGAAATCCATTCCATGAAGCTGCTGGCGAGTAAATTTTGCTGACCAGCTACCACTAAGATGTAATTAGGGGGATGGGGCATGATAATGGGTTGCCACCAGTAAAATTTATTGAGCAGAGCTGGGGTGGGGGAGGCACGAAGATTTTCACAACCGGCTAATGGATTGATGCCGAAAAATTCTGCCTGACTGTGATGACAAAATTTATAAACTTTCCTCAGGATATTCAGAACATCATCTCCCAACCCCTCCCAATTATTTGGCTTCCCACAGTTTGATAACCACTGACCTATACAATGTACCTGGGAAATTTGAATAGGATCAAGAGACTGTGAAATACTTTTTGAGTTATCATATTCACACAGTAAGATATCTCACCCTTCCCTTTGCTGCAACAATGTAGTGTTGTTTAGTTTTTAATTTTCATGTAATTTATTTCAAAATTTGACCACATCCAGTTCGTCACCCATACAATGTGCAATTTGTCTCAAAATTTAATTGGTACCAGATATCACCCATACAATGTCTCTACAAAGTTTGGAAAAGATCTACCAAATGCTTTTTGAGTTATCATGCTGACAAGATAAAATGTCTGAAGCAGCTTTACTCTTTTCCTCTTTCTCTTTATGGCACTGCTTCCATTTTGGAGCGATTTGTCTCAAAATTTGAACAGTTCCACATCTCATTTGTCTACAAAGTTTGAAAAAGGTCCACCAGATACTTTTAGAGCTACTACGTTCACATGATCAAATGTTTGCTTCCATTTTGGGGAAATTCATCCATATATGTTTATTTTTCTTTTGAAGCAGTAATACCATCCATCTAATTATTTTAAACATCACACTGCTACCAAGTAGCGTTGCTTCAATTTCTGGGTGATATGTCTCAAAATTTGATCAGATCCAGATCTTCACCCATAT